GCCGAGCCGACCGTACGCTCCGCCAGAAAAGTATGAACATTTGCATATGCTGCCAGACTACTTGGAGCGGGGACTTGATGGTAAGCTCCTTCGCACCATTAACGCTTCTCCCGTCACTTAACATGATTTCTAGTTGTCTTCTGCGGTATCAAGTTGGTCCTTCTATTCCACAAGGTGCATAATTACTGATTGGTCGTAGCCCCGGATATACCTCTGCGGAGAATGGCCATCATTATGCACATTCGACTAATCACTTTTGGTTGGGTCTTTACGAATCTGGTGCGCATTGCGAGCGCCGTGCCCAAGTACTCATCCAGCTCAAATGAAGGATAAGTGTAGGATTAACAGACGTCCTGCTGTCACCTGATGAGGATTATACACTGCCTGACAAGTACAACTTCGGCTTGGTGAGTGAACGATGAGTCACGTATGAATAGGCTCATTCGAATTAACGTCGTTGTAGACCAATCTGGTCGACAGACCGACGGCCGAGGTATGTCGTATCAGAGATGTCTGTGCGTCTACACGCCTCATGACACTGTGATAGCAATCAGAGCTCGCGGCAGACGAGATGCGCCAAGGTGTACCTGCGTTGATGAACAAGTTCGCAAAGCACCGCCCGCGGATCATCTGCTTCCTCTCGAAAGGAATATGGAAAGTCTTCTTGCGCGAGGCATACCGCCTTGCTTCGCTATCTTCAAAAGAGACTTTGCCCTCTCTGAGCCCCTCGAGCCAGAGTCCGCCGTCCAGTCAGTCAACACCGTCGAGACGTGCCTCGCCTCTCAAGTCCAGGTTCTTCGACAGCACGACCCACTCTCGGGACGACGGCTCACCAGAGGCGATAGATGCTTCGCCTTCACCGCGAAAGCGAAGCAAGACCAAGGTGCCGAAACACTCGTTCAACTGGGGCATGCAGCCGTTCAAAGTCATGCACCGCCAACCTGGTACGTGATTTCAGCCTGGTGCATGTTATCTCTGCTTACTGTCAGGGCAGGATCATTTTCGTCGTCTATAGACCAGACCTGGTTTTTCGTCGTCCCGAGCCCGTCTGCTCGTGTTGTCGCCTACCAGGTACACCAGACTCTCCCGCTCCGTAGTGCGATACTTTACTGACCGCCCCCTCCGATTCTTTTCAGTGGTGGGACAAGGTCGAGTTTTTCAAGAAGCTGCGCGAATTCACTAGCGAAGTGAAAAATGGCCGAGTCGATGCCTCTGAGCATCACGTCTTACCGCTCACTACAACTAAATCGATATATTTTATGAATATGTGAGGTAATTCGTAATGGCTTTTGGGGCACTCGGAGTGAGCTTTACACCCCGATGTCAGCACAGCATGCGGCGTCCCATATTCCTCTCAGTTTGCGTATGTTGCTACTTCAGACCTGTCCCCAAGCGTGTAGTTCCTTTTTTCTTCTTTGAAGCTAAGATGATCGAAGCCTGCCAGACTCGTTGTTGTACAATGGTCATACATCTAAGTCATAACGAACGCTACGAGAAAGAATGTCGTCAAACCTTGAGACAAGCCCGCACCTGCGGGCAGGAGCAATAAATAACGAATAAGGAGCGCATATAGGTAGGCAGGTTTCAGATGAAAGCGCTTCGCGAGGCCTGCGACTCCGAATCGAACGAGGCATCGACGACGCGCCCAGGGATCTCAACGTCCTACGAGCACAGCTCAGCCAATGCAGCAAAATACTGAACCAGCGCCAACGCACCTGGTCCTTGGCGACCCCGTCCGGCACGCTGCAGGCGGCCTGCGAGCCGTCCGATGTGCCCGAACGCCCGAGGATGCTCGCGAGCTTCGAGAGATGGACAGAGATGGCCTGACCAGCGTGCATGTCGCGCATTGCGTCGCGCGAATTAAGCAGTGCAAGCAGAGAGTTGAGCATCACTGTTCCTGCATGTCAGCGTTTTGGCGCAGGTATGAAGAACGTGGCGGACGCCGCACGTTTCGGCAGAACCATGGCAAAGGCGATGAAGACAAAATTGTGCGGCATGGCGGCGTACTGTGGGCTCTGAGGTCAGCTGTACGGTGTGTATATAGATGGAGAGGGGGGTTTACTGTGATGACAGAGGCAATGGCCACGGAACTTTGCAAAGGATCAGTATCGTTGAGACCCCTGCGAGACGCTCGGGAACGCACCTTGTTAATGCGCATGTGTTTATGCTGTAGAGGATGAGCGTACGAATGAGCGAGTCGGTCCTGCAGAGGTCAAGGATAAAGATTTAAGTTTGCCGGTAAAGCTACAAAAAATGTCAGACTGGACGTGACGCACCGCTTGAAGCCCGTGCGACGCCTGATAAGCATCGTGCAGAGCGCAGCCGCGATGGCGCAATCTGTGAAGGCCTGAATGCTAAATGTAGCATACCAAATCCAC